GTGTTTGTCTAATAATGCTAACAAACATTAATATGGTACTATTGTTGATGTATTATGAAATATATTTGTTTATATTATAGATAATGTAAATGACAAAAATTGCAAATATGCTTAAAAATGGGCTGTATTTAAATGTACCTTGGATTTTTCAAGAGTGTTAGTGGTCACAGTCTCATTGTTGCTTCGTGACTCTGCACACAAAGTGTCATCTTTGCTCTGACTCTTTGATTGTCCATTTTGTAGCTGTTAGTATAACCAAGCGACTTTAAGTTATAATTATGCTTGCAATCTAATTATTTTAATTTAACTGGTTAATATGTTCAATAATAACATAAAAATAATGGATTAATCATATATTTTTATTCTAATATAAAAATATTGCGTTTAAGATATAACATATTAAAATAACTGTTCAGCACAGATATAGCTTGTTATTAATAGTTATTTGCTTTCAAAAATAATTATTAACTGTTTTACTCCTATTTTATGATATGCATGACTGACCTCATATGCATATTGATTATTTTGTGAGTAATGATGTGACGATGACGCATTATAATTTGCGTTTCTTCTATCAGGATCATATTCTTCATGCGTATGTTGCGTTTCATCAAAGCTTCTCTAAAAAACAATTTTATATGTATACATATACACACATATATGTATATATATATATGTGTGTGTGTGTGTGTGTGTGTGTATGTCTCTATTCTTTAATAATTGATCTTGTGAGTTACCAAATAATTTTAGATTGGTAAGAAAATCGATTAAAGAATACGTTAATTTGTTATTACCTGATCACTAGAAGAACTGTACCTCCTAGATCGTCCCAATTCATTTTCTTCAATGTATTCAATTGTAATATCCTAATTTAGTTATAAATGTTATTTTTAGCATTTCAATGATTGTTAACAACGCACTTAATACACGTAACTTTTTAAATTAATACATCTGCTATCAATATTCGTATATAAGTATACGAATTTTAGTAACAATTAAATGTGAAGCTATTAATCTTAATACATAAAGCATAAAGTATAAAAAATTACTATTGATTATTATTGATGAAATAATATGAATATTAATTGCATATAAGAAATATTTTAGTATTCCATCAATATTATTTTTGTTATGTTCTTTGAAATGTTTTACCTCTGGGCTTACTACATCCGATTGTGGAGAAGCATCTATTTCAAGAGGATGTGTTAAAGGTCGACCTATTGTCATTGCAGTTTGCACTTCTTCAGGTGATACTATTTTATCATCTAATTTCTCAAGATTTGGCAAAGCTCGAAGTACAGATAATCGATATCTATTCAAATAGGATTATAATGATGCATCATAAAGTTTCCATAGTTCCTAATTTTAAGAGTATTTGTTATTAAATATTTACCCTTCTCTTTCTGCACAGGGATTTTCACCGAGCCACAAATTTCGTAAATTAGGTAATCCTTGAAGATAGCAAATTTCATTTAAATCTTTGATATTATTTCGTCTTATAAATAAATCTTGAAGTTTGTGGCAGTATTGAAAATCAGCAAGTGTATTAATGTTATTTATGCTAAAAATAAATATAAATGTAATTATTATTTTTTTATTTCAGATAGAGAAAGAAAGAAAAGAAAATTTATCCTTTAAATTAAACAGTTTCAAATTAATACGTTCTATTTTAAACAACAAAAAAGTAAAGTTATTAATATTTAATAGCAATTCGCATGTAATAGTTTACAAAACAGTTTTGTTAACTCATTTTTATTTCATACGTACATACATAATATAAATGAATCATATACTTTTAAATATAAATCAAATTTGATTGATATCAAAGAAATCTACGTTATAATATTTATTTTTATTTTTGTTAATATTATATAAGAAAAAATTGTTAATAATTTTTAATGATTTTAAAATAAAAATTACATGCTTTATTATAATTATAATTGTTCCAAGCAGCAAGTGTATAAGTAAAACAGACTTTTTATAAAACCAATTAAAAAATTGTAACACTACAATTACTGAAATAGAAAGTTGCTCAGGAACACACATACATTTCTTTTCATACATATTTAACATATATTTTTTTAAGTTATTCTTTATATGAAAGCAAGAAAATTGTACACATTTTTATCTCTTCCTTATTTCATAAAAGAGCTCAAGTATCTCTTTATATTGTAGTTCTAGTTAATATATCAAAAAAATAAAAAATAAAGGAACTTTAAACTTTTTTTGAAATAAATTTCAGATAATCCAAATATTGATCTTCATATTTGCTCATTTTTCAATATTTATCTCACATGAATCACAATGAATTCAAAGCATGTGTGGGTAGAACAACTTCTGAAGTTGTGGGTTGTGACCATGAGTTTAACATAATCATATCCAAAGTAGGAATACATTGCAGCCTCTATGTTTTCGTAAGATGAAAAATATCTTAGATCATGATCATCAATAGAATGAGTTTACGTTTCTGCGTAATAAAATATTTATTACTAAGTATTTTAATTCATTTTAACATACGATGATTTTTCAGTTCTTTACTACACACGATGGGTCGTTCATATTTTCAGATTTTCATTACTTTTACTAATATATATAAATTATTAAATGATATAATTTATTAAATAATTCTTACATATAATTATATATATATATTTTAACGTCTTTAGAAAGTTTTGGAAGGTTGTATATTTAAAAAAAGAAAAGAATAAAGATCATTAATTAATCAGGTGCTCCTAGTATTTCAAAGAAAAGAAATATGTAAAATACAAATGATCAATCATGTGTGTTAAAGGATAATAATCTGCTTTATAGCGTCATTCTAAAATACATACAATATTATTATATTATTATAAATAGAATATAGATTACAACATTTTTCTTATTTTAATAACTAATTTAACTATTTTATCAAATTTCAACTTACCTTAATGATAATACTTCCACATTCTTCATTTTTCTTAAGATACTGACATCTGTTAATTCTGTTCCCCTGTGTAAAAAATATATTAATTTAATTCAATATAAAGAGAAAAATATTGTTATAATTTATTTTTTACAGAGTCATTCCAAAATAGATGACCAAACTTTACAAGAGTATTTATATTCGATGTTCATTTCCTGAATTATAAATGTTTTTTTGTTGCAACAATGTTTATAAATTGAACTAAAACATTACTTTGCTGTAGAAACAAAGTAAGAAGTGTATATATTAATTTTTTTAATAAGTTACATTTATTCAGTAAGTTAATTATTTAAAGCCTCACAACATTTTACTGGTATGTTTTGTTTATAAAAATATTCCTAAAGCATTTATAAAAACATTTCTACAATTTAGTTATGTACATATTATTCTGTATGTATGCATTTGAATATAAACAAAATTGTACTAGACAGTAGGTAGAATTCGTCAGGTATTTTTTTCCACGTATTCTTTCACATGCCAGAGTCTCGTAAATAGCAGTTAGTTACGCTTGGGTGGGTTATAATTCTCTTTTTTCTCATGATATTGGAGAAAAATTTGATAACCTTATCGCACGATTTTTTGTTCGTATGTGGTCAAATCAAAGCGTGTTTAATTACTTCGAAACAATTGAGTCGCCGTAATTAATTTATTTATGACGTACGGTTATGCCGTTAAAGAGACCTGTCGTTGATATAAGTACTCACCAGCAATTGAGTTTCTTTACAGCGGAAAAGTCAGACACTCGCGTGCGAGCCACGACCATCTCTTCGGTCAACTTCACCATTATGTCATTCGCGTTTGGACGTTATTATACAACAAAAAATTGATGTGCGGTCATCCGAGAAGAAATTCGATGCAATTAATTCACGATAAAAATCATGTACGAGATCACGGTAAATTTTCCGATTTTCCGAGCAATACGCACCCTAACCGATCGCCATGATGCCTTACTGTCGACTAGTCTGCCACTCAGCTGCTGCTAGTCGCGAAGTAGGCTGCAAATGCTTTCACTGATCGCTCACTTCTCACCGCACTAGTTCATGCGCACCTTAGCAGCTTTACGAGTACGGTCGGTTGCGTTAAATGATGTCAGACTCATTCGTACTTGGTGATCATATTTGTACATTTCTTTTACGATACTTGCGTCTTTTCATTAAATAAATTATCGATTACCTCAATTAATTCTTTAATTAATGTTTATGAATTATTAATTTAATTTAGATGCACATCACTCATGCGAATACGTCGATATTGATGCAATTTAACGCGTAATATAATATATGTGTGTGTGTGTGTGTGTGTGTGTGTGTGTGTGTGTGTTGCGACGTACTGCGCATTCATTATTTTCTTCAATAATATGAGATTTATAAAAAATATATTGATTCCGCGGAAATCTATATAAAAGTATGAAATATTAATAGATTTGATTGATAGTAGGAACATGTTATATACGTATGTCGTGAATGTGAGAAAAAAAATGTACATATACATATAGTATATAAATTTTAATAAATATTTGTTTAATAGTACTAACGTAACTTAACATTTACTTATGGTAAATAAATATATATTTATTAAATAAAAAAAAAAGATAGTTAAATATTTTTTATCGTATCATAAATAAATAATATATTCATGTTTATTAAATATTCAGCTACTATTCAAACAAATATTTATTAAAATTTAGTTTTTTTTTCCTCATCATTCGGTGTATAGTTATTACCATATCAGTCGTATTTTTTTTTAGGTAAAATTTCTGGAATATAATACTTTTTATTGATATAATTCTTATTAATATAATTTTTTATAAATATAAAATTTTCATTAAATAAAAATTTTGTATTTATAAAATTATATTAATAAACATAAATAAAATAAGACTCCTCTCAATATTTAAAAAATTAAAGAACCAATAATATATGTAGAGAAGTATTTTATTATTATTTTCGAATCTTGCCACTCGACACGTCAACTACTCTCAAGAAATGAGACGTCATTTATTTAACTATGTTATTTATATTTCTTAATAATTTAACGAGAAATGTTTCAGATTATTACTTATTAGTTTATTATATTTTTGCTATAATATGTACATTGTGTTGACTGCAGAATGTGAGTGTATAAGTCTATTGTAATCTGCCTATCTCATGGAATTCTCTTATTTTATTTAATCATTTAACTATAATGGAACAAATAGGAATCTTTGCAGTGAGGCAGATTTGCCTCACCAGGTTGGCACCATTTGCATCACCAGGTTGCACGGCTTACATTAACATGAGAACGTAATAATTTATTTAATTCGTTGAGAATAACTTGGAATAAGTCGAAGCGCGTACGGACTTGAAGATATAGTTATATTTTATTATATATTAAATCTTTTTTATTATTACACTTGCCCACTAATTATATATCGCGTTGATTCTTCTCTACATATATTGGTTCTTTAATTTAAAAATTATTAATAAGAATTATATCGATACAAATTATGTTCTAGAAATTTTATTTTATTCATATAAATTATGTAGTAAAAATTCCATTTTATTTATATCATAAATACTTATTATAATACCTAAAATAAATAGTTTTAGATCATTTAACGCATAATAAATTATATCTCTTTCTTCCGCCTCAGTCATCAACTTTTTTTTAAAAAAGTGCATATATTCTTTATTTATAATTCAAATGTAGGTAACCCGTAATAAGAATATATCTCTCGATTATTATTTCTCGTCTCTCGTCTCTTAATGTAAATTTAAATGCGGCGCGCATGAGCAGTACAGTTTGCGACGGTCTTCATTCGACAGTGATGCCAATCCAAATGGAGGGGATGCGTACACAAGCAGAAGCCAAATGTGTATGCTCTGACTGCTCCGAGATACATCTCGAGACCGGTCATGTTGGCAGGCATTTGTTTCTGACTTTCTCGCGCCTTTTTATTATCAGGAGTGAAGTCTTTTTATTATCATCGGTGTACATAAGTATTGTTGAGTATTATTGCCGAAATAATTGAATCGCATGACTCTCGTTATTTTGTAATGGACAGCAGCGAATTACCGATCTTGGAACGGCAAAAGGCCGTGTCGAGCAAGTGCCGCAGTGGCTGGTGCTGATGTAAGCGGAAATAAGTTTAAATTTCGATACTACAGATTCACGAAACTGATCCTTACTGACTCATTAATGACAATTTCAGACGAAAGCGAAGTGTCATCTCTGTTCCTATCAAAAGCTCGAATTGCCAGTACAAACAAACATCGGGAGCGTCGATTACTCCACGTAAGCGTCATAATATTATTTTGTAGTAATCGTAGTGTCATGGCGATACATCATTACGGAGCGGCAGTAAACGTGTCGGACAAGAGTCGTAATCGCGGCGATGCAAGTTAGTTCCAATAAGTTTAGATTTTGACGTTGTAGATATGAAAATGCTTATTGCGACTTATTCCAACACGATCCGCATATGTGCAGTCCGTAAACGATACAATGATTCTTGTAGATTCATTTGAATGTGACGCACATGTACGGGACAACTATTTTGCGCTGAATTTTTCATAAGTCCGATTAATGACCTTTGAACAGTCTCGCGTCTCTTTATCATCGAGATTAAATCGATGATCTATACAGACGAGAGTATAAAAGTGGAGCGCCGAATTGTCGATAGCGTACAAAAGTCTCGTCGATAGTGATAATGGACGTGTCGATGTCGATATCGAACGAAAATCATAACCTTAGATGATAAAATAATCTCAGTAAGTTTAAATTTCGACGCTGCAAAGATAACGGCAAGAGATGGCGATAGATTAGAAACCTCATGTCCTCACATAGCACAAATAGTTCAAAAAGAATTCAGTGATATGTCATCAATATTCTGAATTTATTTTTAAAAAAGAATTCTTGGTTGCATCTAAAAATGAGCTCAGAATTGATAACATTTGACTGAACCCAAGCAGAACAACAAGTCATTATGATATTTAAATGATGCCAAAATGACTTCAAAATGATCACTAAAAATCATTTTTCAATCATTTCCGATTCATTTTGATGTCATTTTGATGTTATCGTGACTTGTTCTGCTTGGGAATTCTTTTTGAATTTTTTTAAACTCTTTGTGCTATCTGGGGACATGATGTTTTTTTGTCGAAAATATGTATTATTTGATCGTAGTATCAATGATAGATTGATTATTTGAAGCTTTTATGATATTAAATTGTACCACTAATGGAAAATTCGTATTGTAATATTTTGTTAAATTTAATACATCGATATTAAAACACGATAAGGAAAAAGTGATTTTTATAATAGAAATAATTTAACATTAACATCGACAAGAAAAGGATTAATGATTACATTTGAAAATAATCGCTACTGCAAAACATCATTGCTAATTATTATCGTATATTTCGATTAATGTATTAAATTTATTCATATAATCAATGTTAAAATTATACTATTCAAATAAGAACTATAATCGCACATAGTTTATACTTGACGAAATGACTGACGATGGCGTTAATACAACAAATGTGCGAGTTACGCCAAGTAAACTCCATGCAACAGTAGTAATATTAACATAAAGCAGATTAATTATGTGGGAGTTAAAATATTGATAATTATTTACAAACATTACTTACATTCTCGCGATTAAAAAATTGTAAAATTGTTATATTTAATGTTGTGATCGCAATATTTAGAAATTATGTGATTTATTTGAAATATGTAGTATTTATGTATATAATTGATAGTATTTATACAATAATAATAATAGTTAATATTTATGCATATATATGTATAGATACTGAAAAAATTTACTATATCTTAATAAATATTAAGTAAGAATATTCAAGTCTATAATATATATATACATATATATATAATTCACATTAAATTATTTAAGCATTAAAGATCTAACTTTGACCGTTATAGACTTGAATATTCTTACTTAATATTTATTAAGATATAGTAAATTTTTTCAGTATCTATACATATACATGCATAAATATGTACTATATATGTACATGCAATATATACCATATTTGTAGCTATTCAAACTACTGAAATAATATTAAATACAAATTAAATTAAATTGACAAGTAAATTTTTAATAATAATTTTGATGTTTAATCTGGCATCATATCAGAAGGATGTGCTGAAAAACTTTAAATAAGTTTATTGCGAAAAAATATTACCTCGGCCCGAACTTGAACCCGGATCTCTTGTATTCCGTACGAGCGTCCTAGCCATTAAGCCGGAATCACACTATGCATTTAAGATTGAAATCAAAGATTAAAATTTCATCAATAAGGACAAAGAATTTTGGCTCCTTTTGTTCTGATTGGTCAAACTTCAATCTTTCAATCTTCAATCTCATTCTTCAATACGTAGTTAATTCCGGCCTTAGACAGTCTAATGGTTTTAGGACGCTCGTACGAAATACAATTCCCAAGCAGCAAAGCAAAGCATCTTGACCAAATCAAAGTCAGTTTGTCTTAATTAAGTGAAAAATTATCAATTTTCGACATAAAAAATGTCTTAAAAATCAAATATTGTTTGAAATCTCGTGTACAGGTCGAAAATTACGAAGTTTAAACCTACGAAATGTCTTCAAAGTTCAGTGACTTTAAAGTTATACATTAGCTTATAAATGACTAAATTTTTATCAAATATGTGCCTTCAAAGTTGATTCAACTTATAAGTACAAATTAAATCCCATTTGAAGAAAATGTGACCTGGTTATATTATTTAATTTCAACCTCGTAAGCGATATGACTTAATTGGTCAGAATCACCTAATTTTTGCCATATATAAGTTGTTTGTGTTTGACTTGATTAATAAGAAAATATTTAAGACGCGAAATAAACCTCACGGTCGTGCTAGAAGCTAACTACAAAGTTGAGATTACCACGGAAAATGACTTATAAGGAAAATTGTCTAAGATTAGCTCGAAAAGCTCAACAAAATTGCCCTGAAAGTTAATTATTAGTTTTGGATCTTATTGAAAGTCGCCATTTGTAGTT